ATAGTGACTGTGTCAATCCATGTCGAGAGTCTTCCTCTCTTTTGCTGACCTTCCTCCACCTTTCCCAGCAGATGTTTTTCCCCAAGCACTGGCCTATCCTGACAATATGCCAGAAGTATGTAAGATGAAGCTTCATTGTCTTTGCCTTTAAGGAGCACTCTCGTTGTACTTCCTCCAAAAAAGACTTGTTTGCTCTTTTGGTAGTCCATAGGCTAGTCAGTTCACTGCCAAAACCATAGCTCAAAGGCACCAATTCTTCTTGGGTCTTCTTTATTCGTTGTTCTGTATGTGTATTTTTATTATTTACTATAACAAATTCTACAGTCTGTATCTTACAAATAAATAATTTTTCAATATTTCTGTATTAGACAAAACTTTAGATTGCAAATCACAGGAGATTAGGTGTATTGACTTCTTGTTGTTATGGGCCATTGAGTCACCTGCAACTCATAGCAACCTTATGTACAACAGCCCTAAACCCTCCTCTATTTTGTGCCAATCTTACTGTCTCTGACACACCTACCCCTATTACCCTAATCACTTAATCAAGCCATCTCATTGAAGGTCTTCCTCTCCTGCGCTGTCCCTCCACTCTCCCAAGCATGATGTCCCTCTTCAAGGACTGATCCCACCTTGCAACATGTCCAAAGAAAGTATGTCAGATGAAGCTTCAGAATCCTTGCCTCCAAGGAGAAGCCTGGTTTCACCCTTTAGTAATTGAAAATATGAGGTAGGAGCTTGGTTTCAGCCATGGCTGAATGCATAGTCAAGTGTCTTAAGGTACCTGTCCTTCCATCTCCTCAACAAGCTTCTCTCTGTGCTGGTTTCACTCCCAGTCTGTTTCTTTACATCCTCCTGGAAGAAAGACAGCTGCTCCTGCCTAACAACTTCCAGCCAGAAATCTCACCATTGGAAATCATTAATTTACATAACTGAGAGTAAGATACCCATGCTGACCTGCAGGACAGCCTTGTTCATCTCCCACCCCCTTCTGCACCACTTCAACTCTTGGTTGGTTTTTGGAACCACTCAGCCGAGGGACCACCGTTCTTGGCCCCTGGGCCTCTCATAGTCTTTCCTCAACATCTCTTAGCTTACTACTCCTTCACTTCATTCCGTCATGCCTCAGAGGCCTTCTCTGACCACTCTTCACTATCCTTTCTCTTTGCTCTTATTTTTTTCACAAAATGATCACAGTCTGATGTTCTTCTGCATAGTCATGTGGTCTGTATTATTTGCTTCTTCCACAGGAACCACAAAAAGTTGGCGCATTGTTTGCAGCAATATTCAGCACACAAGAAATAGTTAGCAAACTTAATGAATTAATTTTCCAGGCAAACCAAGTATGTGTCTCTAACACCAGCTTCCTCTGTGGAAAGGTATCATTGTGGTTTTTACTTTCTCTGGAGGAAAAGTAAGAAAAGTGGGTGAGTCCCAGCACAACATGGAAGAACAGATTCTGCACTGCTCAAAACACTGGATATCCACAACTTTAGATCCTCACCTAAACCCAGGAGTGGGAAAGCTTAGAGGACATAAAGGTTTGGAGCTCTTGAAATGTGCACAAAAGAATGAAATGCTACTAAGTGCTGCATCATCCCTATGATTGGTTATGAGCACTTTTTGATCCTTAAGATCTCCATTCATTGGTTTTTCAGCTGAATTCTTAACACACCACTTAGGGACATACAGTGATTAACAGATTTTAAGGCAGATTCTGTTACATCCAAGTACATTACAACAAAGCTACAAAAGGATTTTTAACTTTTTAACTCTGGTAGCACTGTCCATTAGTAGCTGTGTGCCACACAGAGGGGCTGTTCATCTGTTTGTTCAAATCCACCAGCAGGTCCTCAGGGTAAAAAAAAAAAACAAAACAAACCAACCACCAAACCAGTAAGTCTCCTCCCATAAAAGTTTACAGCTTCAGGAATCTCATGATCCATTGGAACCAACAGTAGTGATTTGGATCTTTTTGAGAAGCTGTCATTGCAATGAACTGATCCTCTAGTTGGTTCCCAAGGAGCTTACTCTTCATTTTCAGAGGACCTGCTGCTGGGTTCAACCTGCCAGAGAGGCATCACCTTCCGGTGAGCAGCACAACAAGCTCTCTCGGGACTAATTCACCAGCGTTCCCTTCTGATTTTGAGGTTTTGGGTTTAAGTATAGTCCAAATCTTCACATTCATTGTCTAAATGAGAAAAGAAAATTTAAAAAAAAACACAACAAAAAACCAAAACACAACCCATTCCAAAAAACAAAACCTTACTATTGTAACCAATTTCCATGTAAGTATCAAAATATTCTTAATAGATGGAAAGCCTTGAATGCCAATGATCAACGGCCAGATGAGTTGTGGGATGATGTCAAGGTTATCATCCATGAAGAAAGCAAAAGGTCGTTACAGATGAGGAAGAAAAAACCAAAATGGAAGTTAGAAGAGACTCTGAAAAATTGCACTAGAGCATTGAGAAGCCAAAACAAAAGGAAAATGTGCCAAAATAAAAAAGCTGAACAGAAGATTTCAAAGGGCAGCTCGAGAAGACAAAGTATTATAATAGAATATGCAGAGAGCTGGAACTGTAGAATAAAAAAAGAGCTCTTTTTATTCTGAGCTCTGGATTTCTCAAGTTGAGAGAATTGAAAACAAATGTAAGCAATTTAAGCTTTGAATTGCCATACCGAAAGATGCTAGGGTATCAATGTATTAAAAGATTTAGAAAGCATCAAACGAACATAGAGGGAATTAATACACAGAGTCACTGTACCAAAGAATTGACACTGAAAAATTTCAAGAAATATCGTAAGAGCAGGAGCCAATGGTAATGGGGGAAGTGAAAGCTGCATTGAAAGCACTAGGAAAAAATAATGCCCCAGGAATAAATGGGATATTAATTGATTTCTTTCACTTAACAGATGCAGCCCTGGATGGGCTCACCAGTCTATGCCAGGAAATTTGGAGGACAGCTGTCTGGCTAATGAGTTGGAAGAGGTCCATACTTTTTGCCAGGTCCAAGAAAGGTGATCCAACAGGATGTGGAAACTATCGAACAAACAATATCATTAATATCACATGCAAGCAAAATACTAGTGAAGATAACGAAAAAACAACTAAAATAGTACATGGGTAGGAAAGTGCTAGATGTTCAAGAAGGATTTAGAAGAGGCTATGGCACCAGGGGTAGCATTGCTATGTCAGATAGTTACTGACTAAACAAGAAGAATATCAGAAGAATGTCTGTTTATGCTTTATTGACTATGCAGAGGTATTTAGCTGTGTGGATCATAACAAGTTATGGCTAACATGAGGAAAGAGAATCTCAGAACACTTAATTGTGATCCTTCAAAACCTATACCACCTAGACTAAGAAGCCACTGTAGGAACAGAGCAAGGAAAGACTACACAGTTTAAAATTAAGAAGGATGTGCATCAGGATTGTATTCTCTCTCCATATCTATTCAATCTATATGCTGGTTAAATTATTTGAAAAGCTGGACTCTATGAAGGAAAATGTGGCATCAAGATTGGAAGAAGACTCATTAATAACCTGCCTTATACAAAGGATACAACCTTGCTTCCTGAAGTGAGTAGGACTTGAAGCACTTGTTGCCAAAGATCAAAGAACACAGCCTTCGATATGGATTGCATCTCAATGTCAAGAAAACAAAAATTCTTTTCACTGGACAGATAGGCAACATCATGCTACATAGAGGAAAGACTGACACTGCCAACAACTTCATCTTACTTGGGTCCACAGTCAACATCCCTGGTACCAGCAATCAGAAAATCAGGAAACGTAAAGTACTTGGAATGTCTGCAGTTAGGAACCTCTTCAAATTGTTGAGGAGTATAATGATGTCAGTTTGAGGACTAATGTCCATCTGATTCAGGCTATGGTCTTTGCGATCACTTGCTATGAATCTGAGAGCTGGACAATGAATAAGGATTACAGAAGAAAAATTAATGCCTTTGAACTGTGGTGTTAGAGAAGAGTACTGAACATCCCATGGACTGCCAAAAGAATAAACAAATATCTTCTGGAGAAAATGTAGCCAGAGTGCTCCTTGGAGGCAAAGATGACAAAGGTGAAGACCTCACATACTTCAGGCATGTTGCTAAGAGAGGCTATTCCTTGGAAAGGGACATAATGCTCGGAACAACAAAGGATCTGTGAAGGAGAAGACTCAGATAGGTGGATTGACACAGTGACTGCTGAAATGGGCTCCAGTGTCAAGAAGCATGAAGATGGCACAGGATAGGACAGTTTCAGCTCTGCTGTTCACATGGCCAGTGTGGGTTACACTCGACTCAATGGTACCTACATTGTAATTGAACTCAAGGGAATCTTCTAAAGAAATTACATAGAGTAAAAATTGATGACTAGTTAGCTTACATATTTGGGATGTGAATGGGTGATAGTATCAGTATATTCAATCCCAAACTATCCAGTTATGTTAGTATTTTTATTTATAAAACATTCTTTAATCTGTTCATTGTTTATCTTAGAATGTGTTGATTTTTGTACATAGATTTTTAAAGAGAATTTAAATGGAAAAAAAACCTTGCAAAAAGAATTGATCCATATAAAAATTATTTAATATAGACTATACCAAAGCACCATCTATCAAACAAAATTCCTAAGAGAAGTTGTCTTAATAGAATTCATGTTTTCATTATTTTCAGAAAAATCTTCAGAAAAGCTCAACACAGGAATCACAATGAATTCAGCAAAATAATGATGGTATTCTTAAAAAAATAGTCAATACATGGTCTTGTACCTTAAAAATAGCACCATTAAGTGAGGAGATACATCCTTTATATGAAAAGTCTCTATACAGAGGATTTACTAAAATTCATGCAACCCAGCTTTAAGTGGTTGATTTTTGTAATGTCCCTGGTATGTGGGGTGAAAATGAAAAGAAAATTAAAAGGGGATAAAACACCTCAAAGCGGCAACTTTGAAGAATCAGCTAGTGTGTTCCCTTTTTTCTGCCAGTTGTCACCAGCCATCAACTTCTACCACAAAGGGAGTCTTCACGTCAATCTTGCCGCTGTTGACGATCCGGCAGTCAGTGAGTGGACGGTCATGACCATCAGTTGCTTGAAGTTCTATGGAGTGCACGACTGTCTGTGAGAAAAGAGCAGATGCACCGTTCAACTCAGCTCTGATCAGCCAGCAGCTCGGGCAATCAAAAGGTAAACGCAGTGTCAAACCAGAAAGCCCAAGAGCGAAGGAAGTTTTCTTGGGGCTACAATAACTATGCAAGCTAACTGAGAAACCTGGGATATTCAAGAACTATATATATGGTGGACTAAAAATCTACCATTATATTACTTCTCCTTACTTCCTTGATTCTTTTTATAAGCAGCTTATATTCTTAAGAAAAAAATCTTGGAGTAAACGTCTAGATATAATCCAAGGTATTTCTTACTATGTGCTACAATTCCGTTGAAAAATTAATATGAAATTTCATCTATTTAAGCTTTAATATATAGTAGGTACAGGTATAATATAATAGTCTGCTTATTTAAAGCTTATCTAAGCAATTAATCTACAGGTTCGTGTTCAATACTAATGTATCCCCCAAATCACAGTAGAGTAAAAGACTTTTTCTACTCTGGAGGAGTTCCAAAGCACAGCACATATACACTTTATATTTTATATAGCGTGAAGGAGAATTGGTCAAAGACTGAAAAAAACTTTTAATAGGTTTCTCAAACAGTATTGAGATAAACACAGAAACATCTCAGTGCTAAGGGCTTATTGTTGAAATTAGCTTCCTTATCCATTAACTTACCCATATGGATGATTGAGAATATTCAAATAGTTTGAGTTAGACCATCCACGAGGTAATTGGCTAGTGTTATCAATTCACAAGGGGATTGGCTAGACTAGCCACTAAATTGAGTGAATCCAGGTGTAGAATAAAAGAATATCAGCAGCAGCAAAGGAGATGCAAGCATGGAGTGGTGCACTTCAGGACCAGAGATTATTGTCCTAGCTAGACTTATAGACACAGCACTAGCTAGACTGACAGCAGCAGCAGCAGCAGCAGCAGCAGCAGCAGCAGCAGGCAGCAAAGCAGGGGACTAGAGACCTGACATGAGACAGAATTGACCTTGAAGCTAGTACTCACACAGAACCAGAGCTAAGAGCTTTTGCCCAAGTTTGTTGGAGGACGTGGGGTGAGGGAAGAGCCATACATACTGAGAACTTCGCAACACTGGCCTAAAGCCATGAGGCTCAAAGCTAAGGTGCCTGTAAACACATTTTGTAAGTGGACCTGACTGTGTTCTGCTGTTGTTGTTGTTATGTGCCGTCGAGTCGCCTGCAACTCATAGCGACCCTATGTACAACAGCCCTAAACTCTGCTCTGTCCTGTGCCAATCGCACTGTCTCCGACACTCCCATCCCAATTATCCCAGTCACTGAATTAATCCACCTCATAGAGGGCCTTCCTCTCCTGCGCCATCCCTCCACCCTCCCAAGCATGATGTACCTCTCTAAGGACCGGTCTCTCCTCACAACATGTCCAAAGTATGTTAGACGGAGCCTCAGAATCCTTGCCTCCAAGGAGCCACCCGGTTTAACCCTTTCCAGGACAAATCTGTTTGTTTTCCTAGCAGTCCATGGTAGTATTCTCAATACTCTTCTCCAGCACCAGAGCTCAAAGGCATCAATTCTCCTTCTATCCTCCCTGGTCATTGTCCAACTCTCTGATGCATAACAAGTGATTGCAAAGACCATAGCCTGTATCAGACACACCTTAGTCTCCAGAGAGACACCACTGCTCTTCAGCACTTTGGAGAGGTCCCTAACAGCAGACTTTCCCATGGCAATGCGCCTTTTAATTTCCTGGCTGCTGGTGCCAAGACTGTTGACTATGGAGCCAAGCAAACTAAAGCTGTGTACAATATCAATCTCTTCACCATCCATCCTGATGCTGCCAATTGGTCCAGTGGTGAGAATCTTTCTCTTCTTGACATTGGGCCTCAATCCATATTGTAGACTGCAGTCCTCGACGCTCTGCAGCAGGCGCTTCAGGTCCTCTTCAGTTTCAGCAAGCAGGGTTGTGTCATCCGCATAACGCAGATTGTTGATAAATCGTCCACCAATCCTGACCCCACATTTCTCCTCATAGAGCCCAGCCTCCCGGATAATCTGCTCTGCATATAGGTTGAAAAGGTATGGAGATAGGATGCATCCCTGGCATATGCCCTTCCCAATTTTGAACCGTGCAGTGTTCCCTTGCTCTGTTCTGATGACTGCCTCCTGGTCCAAGTATAAGTTTCGCATTAGAACGATCAAGTGGTCTGGGATTCCCATTCTTCTCAGAGTCAACCATAGTTTGTTATGATCTACACAGTCAAATGCCTTTGCATAGTCAATGAAACACAGATAGACATTCCTCTGGTATTCCCTGCTTTCAGCCAAGATCCATCTAACATCAGCTACAATATCTCTAGTACCACGACCCCTTCTAAATCCAGCCTGGACTTCTGGTAGTTCTCTGCTGATGTGCTGTTCCAGTCGTTTTTGGATAATCTTCAGTGAAATCTTGCTTGCATGTGAAATCAGTGAGATTGTTCTGTAGTTTCCACATTCTGTTGGGTCACCTTTCTTTGGGATAGGAACAAATAACAATCTCTTCCAGTCAGTTGATCTAAATTATAGCCTTCTGACTTCCCCATTATGGCCCTATATGGTCGGTGTGTGTTTTAGACACAGACAAGCAATAAGATTAGTATTAGGATAAGCAGAAATATGTGTGGGAGTGTGAGGAACATGTCTGACGTCATGGGAATTGGTTTGTACTATTGATGTTATTGCCAGTGACAATTGTCCTTCAAGAAGTTGGTAAAGGTAAGATATGGCTGTCCTCATGTCGCCCTTGCTCTTTTTACACTTGGACATAGTGTCAACGAATTCAGTCAGAATGAACTCTGGCTCAACTCAAATGTTCTTCTGATAATAATAGAGGTTGAAACCAAGTTTCTTCTTGGAGGCAAGGATTTTGAAGCTATGTCTCACATACTTTGGGCGTGTGTGGGCACTCACACACACAATTTATACTATCCATTATTCTAATGCATAATTGTCATTGTTGTTATGTGCCACTGAGTCAACTACAATCCATAGCAACCCCATGAACTATGGCTCTGAACCTGTCTTATCCTGAGCCAACCTTATTGTCTCTGACACACTTGACCCAACTGTCACAGTCATTATGTCAATTCATTTCATTCATGATCTTCCTCTTCTGCGTTGTCCCCCTACCTTTCCAAGCACGATACCTTCTCCAAGGATTGTCTCACCTGGTGACATCCCCAACGTACATGAGATGGAGCTTACCTCCTATTGTTGCTCTGAAGCATCAAATCAAAACTGATCCATAGCTGACAATAATCTACAGGGTTTTCAGAGGCAGTTAACCACAGAGAAGGAGACTGACTATCCTTCGCCTGCTGAGTATCTGGTGGCTTTGAACCATGTGTCTTTGGGTTTGTGGTGCAGTTTCTTGCCACTAGGCCACCAGAGGAATGCTTTTAAAAGGGCATATTCATAGGCCCACAACTAGAGGTTCTAATTTTGTAAGTCTGACGTGAGGCTCAGATAAATATCATGCAATCCAGATGATCTCACGAAGAACAAGGAAGGAATTCCATATAAATGTGAAATAAAGGAAGTCCGTATAAATGTGAAAATTACACACACACACACACACACACACACACAGAGTTTTGTTTGGGATTCTTTTTTTTGCCTGGAAGGTCTACAGCTTTCATTAATTTCTTAAAGGAGCATTTGGTTCATAAAAGGTTCAAGAATGTCTCTCTCAGACTAGGTAGCAGTTTTCCCTGGATGTATATCAATAGGTAAAAGAAAGTTGGTGCAAGTGAAGAAGCAGTAAGATATAAAATCTATAAAAATAGAAAAGAAAACCTTGTAAAACCTTGACCTGAAGAGGAAAAGAAAATATTTCTACCTGTTTTTCTTGCAACATACTATGATGCGGCACTAAAAACATACGCATTAAATGAATGATTTAATTCACTGATTTCAGACTGTTTAAAAACCCAATGCTCAATGGATGAGAACTCCAGCTAATTTAACATGCATGCTCATCTTTAACTAATTTAAAATTAAAAGTTCAATAAGAGACTTGAGAAGGCTGCCATTAATAATTATTTAAGCATAGATTTTTCTGAAAACAATCATAGAGGCATGTCTTTCTTGCGATGGAATGGAGAGAGATCAAGTGACAGGCCTCCGCCCCATTTCCCTCATTCCATTCACAAAGCAGAATCCTGTCTTTGCCTGATCGATCTGAATGGGACCTTACTCTGGAAGAGAGATTCAGAACCTATTGGCTCAATTCCTGGCTTTTTGTTGCTTGAGATTAGAATTTGTTGATATTAGGTGCTAATGAATCAATGAGTCATAGCAACCCTCTAAACAATAAGTAGGAACCAATGTATAGCTGATCCTTCAGTGGCTTTTGGAGGCTGTGAATCATTCTGTAGAGGGCTGGCCATCTTTCTCTCATGGAGCCACTCGTGAATGCAAACTGTCAGAGAGGTTCAACCTTTGGGTTGGCAGTGCAACTCCCTGGGATGAAAACCTCACCAGAGCTCCCTCACCGCTCTCTCTCAGAGCTGACCCTCCTGAGGCAGTAAATCTCGTGGGAGGAGACTGCCAATACAGCCAAGTAGGAATTGCTAAAGTACTCTAAAGAATGAAGTTCCTTTTTTACATTACAAAGGAAGAATAAGTTACATGAAAACAAAACAAAATGAAAGTTGAGAGGACAAGGGAATCAAAAATGGTCTATATTTGGATTGGCCAACTTTACAACTGTCAGATTAGAGGTTGAGAAAGATACTACAGAAATTACTGAGGAGGAAAACTGTTGAACCTGAAAGGAATAAGAATATCCCTATAGCTTATGAATTGGACTTCATTAATATTCTGTGGGCCATGCCAACATAGATATGAGTTCTTTTTGATAATCTTTTGTCTGCTAGATTAAATATCTTTAAAGGTGACTTGATTTTCAACAGAACCACATGAAGATCTGGTTTTACATGGCTTAAGTATTTATTAAAATGAAATAAGTACTCAGCTTCCTCAAATTTAATCTTTAACTTCTGTTCAAACACTCGTAACAATTAAAAGTTAAAAAGAACACATACACACAAACAGTAAGACATATCATTT